TTAACACGATGTGTTGTGATTGTCTGTTCTGGTTTTAGGAAGAGAGAAGGGCACAGCTGCCTAAATACCAGCGCAATCTTCCTCGACCAGGCCAGGCTGCCCTGGGTAATCCACCGGTTGGACCAATTGGAGGTATGATGCCACCACAGCCAGGAATTCCTCCACAACAACAAGGAATGAGACCTCCCATGCCACCTCATGGTAATCATAAATTTCCTAGCTTCTTGGTTTTGGAAAGATTTGTGAAGTTGCCTATGCTGGCAGGGAGGGGTGAAGCTTTTCACAAAATGCACTTCTCACTATTAAAAAAAAAACAAAACTTAAAAATTATTCTTTGCATCTTAACTATTCTGTTCATAGGTCAGTATGGTGCACATCACCAGGGCATGCCAGGATATCTTCCTGGAGCCATGCCTCCATACGGTCAGGGACCTCCGATGGTGCCCCCGTACCAGAGTGGACCTCCTCGCCCTCCGATGGGAATGAGACCGCCTGTAATGTCGCAAGGTGGCCGCTACTGATGCTCCTACTCACGCTCTAATAGGTTTGGAGATTAAACCTTTTCTCATCTTGTGCTGTTAATATAGCCGAGCTTCCGTCAATTAAAGCTTCATTGTGACTTTAAAAAAAATAAGTATCTTCCCACATGCAAGGAGCTATTGGACATTCTTATTTTACATGGGAAAAATTATTTGGAATAATAACAGGAACTTTTCCTGATGTTGCAATTTATACTGTATGGCTTCTTTTTCATGTTTCATCTAGGTTTTTAGAAGTGAAGTATAGTAAATATGGTTCGTTAAATTGTGAAGGCGCTGGAATTACATGAACATACCACCTTAAAGGCAAGTTCTGTAATGTTACGTTGCTATTTGTGAAACGATGCCTTCACAGCACTTCAGGTGCTGTTGGACTTCATGTCCCCAACATAGTTTGGTGAGGGCTGTAACTGTTCCCAGCTACTTGTACATTAAAGTCTGAACTTGTAACAATATTTAATGTATTTAGAGTTCTCCTGTTCCAGGGTTTAAGTAAACTGACCCACTAAGGTCATGTGACTTTTCTGTACTGTTATAAACTTCATTGTAATAAAAGAGGAGAAAAATTTATATGCCTTTTTATTCATGACCAGCTTTGGACAACTGCCTGAAAGGTTTGTACAGATGCATGCCGTGGTAACCATTGGTGTAATGAACACAGTTATTGGTGCTGTTTTGATAAAGTCTGAATTCCTTGTTCTAAAAAGTCACTCCTTAGCTGTACATCTGAGTAGACAAAGACCTGTACACTTATTAACTGACTCCTCAAAACTGAGGCTGCAGGAGGCACATCCTAACTCTTGGCTGTAACTTCTCTTAATGCATATGTTTCTTTATTTGTGCTTTCTTGTCCTCAATAAATTTTAAATGATTTCTAGTCCTGGCACTTGCTTGTAGGATGTGAAAGTGCTCCGGGATACATCCCAGTGCCAGGGTGTGTCCCATTAGTTCACTCTGCAACTGCCACTTTAATGTGCAAGTGGAGGTGAATTTTAGGATCCTTTTAGGTGAAGATTTCTAGAAGCTTAGGTGCATGGCACATGGGTGAGTGACTTCCAGTTAATGTATTGAAGTTGACCTGCAAAAGAGAAATAGTAGCTTAACCCTCTTAATGCATAGAAGATGCAAAGCAGGCAAGAGTAATATGTTATATGCCATGTTTTTACTTTAAATGTTCAGAATTGCGTGTTTTGGCAGTCTCTGAAAGGTGAACCATCTGTAACCATCTGTTGTGTGCTATGATCAGATGTTGCCTGAGTTTTCTTGAGCCATTCAGTGAAAGTTTCTGGAGTGAGGGACCTTTTTATCAAAGCGAGGTCTTCCCTCTATGAATTAGTCATTTCTCTCTTTGTAAGAGTAGAGTGACAAGTTCCTGTTACGGTTGTAATTAGGTCTGACATCATGTGAGTGATCCTGTGTTAGACCTCTGCTGAGAATGTAGAGGGAGACTTTTTGAAGGCGGGGGGAGTGAGAGCATCTCTGGCTTATTCTCTATAGGGAAAAAAAAAGTGGCGAATTTTTCATTTGCAGGTCAACTTTAAATACATGTTCCAGCCTCAAGCCTTATCTGCAGTTTAATTAATGGGGATTAATTCTTCTTTAGGGTGGGGTAGAAGGATCATCAGCCTTTTTGTGTCATTATATTCATACATGTTTTTGTAGATGGTCGAAGTTTTTCACTTAATACTGAGCCTTATGGCTCTGTTTCTTGGAAGTCTTGGGGTTTTGTAGCTGCACTAAAGCACTTCATGTGGCTTTATTCTGTACTGTCTCTTAAAAGTGCAAAAATAACAGTACAGCTAAAATAATACACTGTCTTAGCTTCTGTCCTGTGGTCACAGAACGTCCCAAAAGCACTAGAGCATCCAGTGCAGTTTAGGTACAGCTGAATGGCCTTAGTTTAACCATTAAGAATTGCCAGGCATTTTTTTCTGAAGTGTTCAGTTTTAAGACCATAAGTCCAAGCCTCTGTTGAGAAGCAGTTCTCTGATCACTGGTATCTACCGACCACCTGTCAGGTGTGCAGTATTTGGCTTGCAAGTGTACTTGATGTCAAATCTTTTGTTAGCTCTTCATCTTGCTTTAGACATAAATCTAACAGATAAAACTTGTTTTGCTGAGGCAACGCTTTTATACTCTGGTTTTCTTCTGTTTACCTAATTGGGATAATTACGAAACTTTGAAGAGATTTTTATGGGTCTTATATTTGTCCTTTTTATAATATTACACATAAAATTCATACATTATAAAGTGATCTTAACTACTTGTAAAACTATAAAACTTCTTGCTTTTCCTGAAGATAATATTGCTGTTTTAAGGATGCTTTGCCCTTCTGCCCCAGTCAAGTAAATTTCTTCTTTCTTTGGTGTCTTTCTGTAATTTTCCTTATGTTGTCTCCAGATCCCTACTTTTCCTGGGATAAAACCTTATTGCATGCACTGTTTACTTGGCATATTCTGCAAGATGTATTAGATAAGTTTCACTCTTTTAAACAGTGAATGTCTCATTCTGATAATGGTACCATTTTGTAGCTAATACTGCATAGACTTCAAGCTTGAATGCGTTTTAAAAATAATCTTTCCTTAGTAGTGATGTTATGGAAACCCCTTGAGTAAGTACTGCCACATGTATTTCATTGGTACTTGCATACAAGCAGGTGAACAATTTTTCTGTGATTTTCACGTGGATACTTCATTTCCTGCTCCTGTCATTCCTGTGCAATAAGAGCTGTGATGTGGCTGCCTTCAGTCTTCAGTTACTTTTGCCTCTTGTGTGATTCTTCTGTAAACAGGCAGATGTGTCGGTGCCTGCGTTGTCTGTTGGTCCCTGCCTTCATTTCTTTGAATACTGCTTCTTAATGTTCAGAGAGTTGGATTTATGGTGCATTTACCCAAAAACAGTAAAACTACTTTGAATGTAATAGTTGCTTGTATAAAGACAAAGACTTGGTTTACAGTACCAAGTGTAATCAACATAGCTCTGCCAGCAAAATCCCTGATGTAATGCAGCCATGAAAACAGGGTTTTGCTTTAGTTAATCCTTTCTTGGAAAGAGGTTGCAAAAGCCTTTATGATTACAGAAAAGCATATCCTGTGTAACCCTTGCAGGACCCTAGTGATGTAATTACATAGGCAGAAGCTTTGTTTTTTAATTGTTGCCTAAATTTGCCACAGCAGATCTTGCATTAAAATTCACTCTTGCAAGTGCATTTTGACCAGTCTTGAAATTGCAATATAATGCAAATGTTGAATACAAAGGATTAGGCTACAAGAAAATTTCAGACGCAGGTGAGAAAATAGGTTTAACAAAAAACATGCCAGAATTTATTGCATCTAGGATGTAGAAGGTTCTCAATTATTTTATGCATGGTCTCAATATCATAATAAGCAGCTGATCTGTAGGGCAAAATGGATGAGACTGGCATGAAAGAACCTTAAAAAGTGGGTTAGTTTTTAGAAGTCTTTATATGACTATTCCATACAGCCATTAGAATAGCCTTCTGGCATTGGCAAAGTTGCATTAAATAAAATACTATTTAGTTGGCATATGTAGGCTGAAAATTTCTTCTGAAATTCTTGGATTACTCCCCCCCCCCCCAGATGATATTTTAGGTGCTGATAATAAATTTGAGGCTGGGCTGTTTATCTAACAACAGTGGATAACTATTCCTCGCTCTGTGCATGCATGGGACAGTGTAAACAAGCTTCTAGAAACACACTCAGCTGCATCTGCCTTCTGTAGTTTCTGCCAGTATTTTAGGCTGTGGAGCTCTTGAGCAGGACTGACACAGAACTGGTTTACTTACTGTCTTAAAACGTGGATGAAATTGAGTGGGATAGATAACCTACAGTTACTTCATAGGAATGAAATAATTCTGGATACAAAATGAAAACAAAAATACCAAGATTACTTCAGTTTTATGAACAGCAAGAAGGTCGTTACGACCTTCAGTTAAATTGAGACTGATAAACTAGTCCATGAGCTGGGGCCACAATTTAAAATGGTAATTAATGACACTTCTTAGTAAATGTCTTAATAATTGTACTGGTCTAGTTTCTACATGAACACTAAGACAAGGGTGAACATTTTCAGTGGCTGGTGGAATCTTTAACTCAACTTTTCATGAGCTAGTACAACAAATACTATCAGTTACGGGAAAAATGCCCCAAGACAACTGACTGATGTTCCATTGATCAAGATACAAAGCAAAACAAGCTGTCCAATTCAGAAATAGCTACCAGCTACAAAAAATACTGTTTGGACCTAACAAAAGAGGTGCTATAGCAGTCATTTTCTTTTGTTTGCTTGATCACTGGAATTTTGTTAATTTTTAATGCATGTCTTTCACTTAATTGGGTCATGTTTTTTCTAAAATTCAAATTTTTCTTCTTCCTATAGCCCTGCCATAGGACAGGCTGAGGCAGAGTCTCAGTGTTGCCCTGTTCAGTCTGAGGCAAGTGGGATTTATTTTATTCATTCTGGGGGCTTTCACAGCTTTATGGCTGTTGGATATTTATGTCCCCAAACTTGCAGCAAGTTTGGTGAAGGCCCCTAAATTTATTTTAATTTAGGTTTTTTTATTCTCTTTTGGTAGATGGGCTCTATATTAATATTTATCTTTTTATTATGGCTGTGTTTTTAAGAGTCTTAAGGGGAGGGAACCTGTTTTAAGATGTGTGGGTACTTTTTCTCTTAATGGAATGCATTTCCTGCAAGGCTGCTCAGGTAGTCCTTAAGACACACTGCCCCTCCCCATCTTTCCCTGCATTGCGTTTGTGCTGTATTTGTTTTTGGGTTTGGTAGTGTTCATTTTGTGTAGTCTCTGAATTAGTGGCATGTAAATACCAATTATTGTTTTCTCTTCTGAGGATATGTATCTATTGAAAAGCTTAAAATAGATTTGAACTAGTAAGTTAATTGCTACAAAAATTTGTAGCCCCAATTACAGAATACAGTTTCTTTGAAGAAGGTTAAGATGTTAATACTGCTGTGTTTGTAAGCTGCACCTCAACAAATATTAATGTAGAGCCCTGCGAAGAAATAGAGATCAGATCCAAGTTGATAACACAGAGAGTGAGAAATCAAAGCTGCAGATTTTTCAGCTTGCCAGTTTCAGGGAGAACCTTTTCCTCAATCTCTTTCCTCAGTTCAGGGAGAACTTTTTCCTCCATCTCAAATATGTCAAATTCGAGGATGTTTTGACTATTGCAACAATAGTAAGAGTTGAAAAACTTTTCTTTTAAACCTTGAGAGATTCTGTTGCATGTTCAAAATTAGCTTTATTTGAAGTTCCTTCTTTCACGTGGTGCCTAGCAAAAATTTCTACCCTTTGTGAAGAAAAAGGTGTTCATTCTGTTGCAGATCCATTGTTTATGAATGCTTGAGGTTGCTTAAAGAAGGCTTCAGAACAGCAGGTTTTGCCTAAGGAGGTCTTGCAGCATACCAGCAGTGAAATAGTAAATAAACAAATGTGGGAGTCTGGTTTGACTTCTTTTTTTTTTTTTTTTTTTTTAAGTTTTTGAGATATTTTTCAAGTTTGTGGTCAGGCTTTTTTATGAGCATAGTTGTTTTTCTTCAAGATTTTGCTTAATGATGACCCCTAATGGGATTTCAAGTAATTTTAATTCAAGGAGAGAGTTGTAATTAACTTAGAGTGTATTGCACATTGCTGTTGTACCCTTCTTTGTTTGTACTCTGCCCTTTGCATTTTTCCTGTAGAAGGCCCCCCACAAAATCCCTGTCTGACTGGAAAATTGACATGTCCATGTTAACTGTTTCAGAATGGTTACTGAGCATGGTCTTGCTTTGCTAATTCTCATTGTGGTGCTCCCCCTGATAACAGTGAAGATGAGAACAAGTCTTCAAGATAAACTACTGCAACCAGGACTTCTTTCACTTGCTTAATTTATAGGATCATTTGGCTTAATTCTTTTTTCCCTGGAATGTCTAACAAAAGTGTTTGACTCAAAATAATACATTGTGGGGCTTGTATTTCTTGCTTAAAGTATCTTAATCTCTTAGAGTCTCAAAATAAAAATTCCTCTTTATTTTGAGGGATGAAGTATGGTTCTTAGTTATGTTCCAGTATTGCAGCTCTCATTGCAGCAGTTTGTGTATCACAAAGTTGGACATCTTGCTGTTAGTGAAATTTTTTTACTAAAGTGGATGGTATTTCAGTGACATGAATTTTATAGATATTAACAAAATGTGGTCTTGCAGTTCAGGTTTTTTAAGCTTAAGTAGGGGCACATAACTTTTTTAAAGGAGCAGGAGTTACTGATACTCTGCTAAATTGGGTAAATTTGTACCTGATCTGTTAAACAAGAAAAGTAACTTGAGATGTGGTAAATAAAGTACATACCGCACATGATGACCTTTTTAAAAAATCTGTATGCTTGCAACCAAAATAATCAGACCAGGGAAACAGTGGTAGTGACTGGGTTCTGTAAGAATGCAGCTGCCTGTGACTGCTGTTCTGTCTGTCATGGTTGGGCTAGGTTGGAAGTAGTTCAGAGGAAAGAAAGTTTTGGGACAGCCATTTAAGGGATCAAGAGGAATCAAAGTGTAAATTGTAATGTATATAAAAGTTCTTTCTGAAGTTCTGAAAAACACTTGGTGAGAGGTTTCTGGCACACTGTAAGCAGCAACATAGTGCAGTGTTGATTGCCAGAGCACAGATTCCCAGTAAGGCTGTGCTAAAGCAAATGCAGTTTTACTGCAGCCTTGTGCAGGTGTGGCTGAGGGGGCTGAGCGCTGGAGCCTGCTGCTCTGGCAGCCAGCCATATCCTGTCCTGAACCACAGGATCCAGGGTGTTATCCTCAAGCCGTTTGTTCCTGGCATCCTGCTGAGTCAGTTTTGACTGTCCCTGGTGTGAATAATTTTCAGGCTTGGTACTTACATACCTGGACACTGTTGTGAATAGTGAGGCCCTTGTATCTTCTGAACAAGTTTACAATAACCTCCTAAATTCTTGCGTGTTTTCCCAGTAGGGACAGTCAGCAACACTGCTGTTTTAATGGCAGTGAATTTGACTGCTGCAGAAATACTGTCTTGAACTTACTGACCTTAAGGTTTTTCTTTCTTGAGGATATAAAGAAGTGAAAAAGTTTTGAGAAAATAGTAGAATTTTAATGCCAGTACCATCTTAACTAAAAGCAAAGAAGCACATGACATTGAGAACTTGAAAGCTTCCTTATAAATTCTCTTGTTAGCAGTTAGTATGTCTCTCTGGCAGCTGACTGCCTTATACAAGGTTCAAGCTTCTGACATCTTAAACTTTTTTCCCTTAAGTTTTCTCTTAAATCTCTACCATATTCAGAAAGGGGGCATGGGTTGTAAAATTTCAGTTTCTGCTGCTCATAGTAGCCAATATGTAGAACTGATTTTTGCTAACAGCAATTTTAATTACCTGAAATGAATGCTGTACAGCCAAAGGAAACTTACATCATCTCCTAACGTAGGAAGTTACGTAATGCTTTGAGATGAAGATGTCATGCAGAGCTTTTTTTCTTTTCTCATTTTTTCACTGACTTACTTGCACTGAATTCTCTAGCTTCTTTCTTATAAATTTAAGTGGGAAAAAATACATTTTCCTCTTTCACTTGTAAAGTCGAGAGTAAGAAAATACACTTTAAGACTTTAATGAAGGAACCTGGCGATGTAAGTATTTTAATTTCCTTTATGTTTTCAGTAGGCTACAGGTGACCTTGTTACACTTATGGGTTATGTATGAAAAATCAGAAGGACAAATTGAAAGTAGTTTCATAGTTGCCTTTACTTCACATGCTTTTCTTAAGCAACAAATTGCAGTAATTGAAGTTTGGCAGCTTTTTTTTTTAATAAAAAAACTAAATTATGGGTAAAACACCTTGGTTTAATACAATTTGTGTTTCTGTTAACTAGCAGCAGAATTTCAGCATTTGCTACTTACTGGTAGAGAAGAAAAATTCCACAGAACTGCCAGTACAGGTTAGTTTAATCTGTAAGTACCTGATGTTACTATTTGAAATAATTTGTTCAAATGATACCATTTAAATACCTGAGGGGAATTTTGGTCTCTGAAATGTGATTGTTACCTACTACTGATTGCAGTAGTGAGTGAACAGACTAGACTTTTTTGGAAGATCTATAATGGATTTAACTATGCTTGTGGACAGGTAAAAAATACCTGCAAGCACCTTTAAGGAAAATTTAATACAGAATCTTGACAAGCAGCCTTTGATGTTGCTGAAGAATGTGAAAATCTGAAGTCAAAATCACTGTGGTAACATGCCAGTTATTAATGAGGCTGGTTTTTACCAACAAACCAGCAGGATCCTGTGTTTGTTGTGTTGGGGATTAAGCATTTCTGTTTCTAAGAATCAATAGCAGTTTGTAATCTTTCCATTTTCTTTAGCTATTGCTAATTACCCTTTCTTACCCACAGATTTTTACTTTGTTAGGCTGGTAAGCCAGGAGCTTGTTCTTCTGTGCTTTTTTAATTGCTTTTGTTAGTTCATTTCAGCACTTCAGAGGCTACCTACAAACATGGTTTTGTCCAACTGTTTTATCTTACATCAGAGTTACTGCTCTGCCTCTATTTTAATTCTGCCCTATTTCATATTCCCAGAAATTCTGGTATTTTATTTCTATTGTATAGAATGTTTTATACCCTAAAATAGGAAAGATTCTTTGTGAATGAGTAAAATTCATTCCAGTCTCTGGAATGGCTGCACACATTTAGTTCTGTTTAGACTTTGTATATCTCATCTCTGCATATCAGTAGAAGAGATGAAAACTTTTTCTGTGCTGTAGCACGAAGTGACGATCCACAGCTGGATGAGCTGTAAGATTGTGCTTTAATTCACTTTTGAGGCCATGATGTCCCACTCTGAATTTGAGAGGCTTTTAACATCACTGGTGGGTAATTACTTAGTCAGCACTGGGAAGGTTGTGGTTATGTGGTAGCTGAACAGACACTTGAGTTTTGCCAGCTCATCTGAAGGGTCTAGAGTGGTTTATGAGTGACTTGTCACTTCCAGCAGAATTGCTTGGTTTAGGGTTCTGAAATCTTAAACGGTGCTGCAGAACTCATCATAAAAACATGCACAGTTTCAAGGCAATTGTATCTTCCCAGGTTTTAGAATAGTTACTCTTGCAGCCCATTGCCTGCCATCTTCTCTACATCAGTTCTTGGTAATTTGCACTAAATTGCTTTCTCTTCAAAATGAGCTACAGGCAAATTTCTCACCAATGTTGCATAGGTTTTTCTTCCTAAAAGGGGGGAAAAAAGGGAAGTCATACATTAATATTTACAATTTAGCTTTATCTCTCTTTGCTTAATCTTCATTGCAGGTATACAAGAATAAAAGGGATGCCTTGTTGTGAGGCCATTACCCTGTCAGCAGAATGTGTCTGTATTTCTTACACCATCTGTGGTTGACCCTAGCTGATGCTAGCATTAATGCAATGCTCAGTACTAAGCTGGAGTGAGTAAATGCTTTTGGCTGCTCAGTTACCTTGTCATGTCCTGGTGTTGGCACTGGCTGGATGCAGACCTGCACTACTTGTTCACTGGCCTGGCAGTCAGTGGGGTTAACTAAAGGCCAGAGTGTGTTCCATAGTGTCTTAACAAAAAAAAAAGTGCATTTCTCCAGGATAGATCGTAGTAGAACTCTGGTAGAAAGACATCTCTTTGTGAAACTTTAAATGGCAGTTACTTACGGCACTTTTTGGTAGAATAAAGTTCATTTTCTTTTGAGATAGGACCAAAACAAGACTGGAAATCTGAACTTTGATTACCAGGTATACAGTGTTAAAATTGTAGCTCAACTTCTGACACACCATTAGAGCAGCTGTCCATTGTAAAGTGGTTCAGCAGTCTTCCCTCCCAGTTCTGGTACTGTGCATTTGGAACAGTTTGTAATTTCCCACTATTTCCTTAGACTCCTTGCTGACTCCCAATTGCCCTTTTAGAGTTTCTGGTCACTGTGCAGTAAATTCAAAATGAGCAAAGCTGTTTTTAATACCTTCGTAAAGGACCTTTAATTAAGCACATGAGTGAATAGTGTCCCCTCTCGGTAGCAGTATGGCCACAGAAGTGTGTTGTGAAGGGGTTTTTTCTGTAACTTGATACTGCTTTTGTATTAAGTGGTATGAAAGGGCTGGGATTACTGATCTTTTTCGAAAGACAGGTGGTGGCAAAATACTGATGTTGAATTTAATTCAAGAAAGTGAAAGACTGGTAAGTATGTGCATCACTTTAATGCATGCAAATAATAGTAACAATAACAAGCTTAATTTTATAGCATTCAGTTTACAAAGAAGATAAAATACGGAGCTGACATCATTTGCATCCACTGGGAACCCTCTCTGAACTGTTCTTCAAGAATGGGTCATTGCACATACAGCCATCTGTAATGTGTGACATTTTGTAACAGTGTCTGATTAAACAGAAGTGAACCACTGTTTCTGTGTATTTTTTTCTCTTCTTGAAAACCTATTGAAATTATTATTGCAACAGATGTTATCGTGAGAGTAACTTGGTACCAGCTTTTGATTCTCTGTAAGCTGCAGAGACTCATTTGTGTGAGCTCTGACTTGGAGACAAACAAGTGAATCCTAACTTCTTAACCTGTAACTTCCTTTTGCTGTTGATCTGCTGTCCTGCTGCTAAGCAGACTATAAAAAGCTATTGAAGTTGAAAGAGTCAGAATATGGAGGAGAAGTTTCTAACAGTGTTTTCATAAAAGTTGGTGGCATGGGCGTGCTGGGAGGTGCTCTGTTCTAAACCCTTTTTGAGCAGAGAGCTGAGGTAGCTTGGGAAATGGCACTTCCTGTGTACTGGATGAGAATGGATTACTGTGCTAGGCTGGGCTTATTTAGCTACCACTGTTCACTCATAGGTTAATTTCTGAGAGGTGGTAAAGGCAAGATAAACATATTTTTCTGCTATGGCATGGACCAGTTGAAGGCATTTTGAATTGCCTGTGTGTGACAAGGAGGAGGTGCAGTAGAGGACCCTTCAAGGGAACAATGCTGCTGTGCAGAAGGTCTTAATGGCCATTTGTCCTCTGGCCCTTTTAACTCCAGGAAATCTGAGAGGCATTTGGGAGCTGCTTTGTAGTAAGAGCCAGTTAGAGCAAGGACAGTTGTGTGTTGCCTGGCAGGTTAAAGCCCTCCCAGTGTGAACATGCCTGGTAGGAAGTAGGAAGGGTGGGTCTGTACTTGTTGCACTGTGAACCTCAGCTGGTTGTTGCAGTGTGGGACCCCAAGAGTTAAACTGTAAGTTTACTTTTTCTCTAAAACTTGTTTCAATGGGTTTTGGGTTTTTTTGTGGGTTTTTTTTTTTTTTGTTTGTTTTGTTTTGTTTTGTTTTTTGTGCGGCTGGGGGGGGGGGGGGGATGAAGAGTTTAAACTTAATTTTTTATAAGGTAAAAGTGGGCATATATGAGGAGCAAGACCTCTGTTTATATTCTACCTCAAAGACTCAAGCTTGTGCAGTAGTGTGAGCTATAGGGCAAAGCACTGCTGGTCTGCAGAATTGAGTTGGGTGTGGGCAGGCAGTAAACAAATTACAAGACAGAACCTCCTGGCCAGGCTGGCTGTAATTTTTCATCTTGGTAACAGTTGCTATTCAAAAACAGTCTGTTTTGCTGCCACAGTATTGCTGCTGCAGGTTGTGTATGTGGTGAGCAGTCAATGCTTTGCTTTTCACTCCTGTGCCTTTCAGTAAATTTACATATCCTCTTTCTGCTCGGGGTTGAAGCCATCCTAATGCCCCAGGCTAGACTTGGGGAAGCTGCCTTTGCCCAGTTACTTTCTAGAACATTCTCCTGTCCCCTGCATCAGGGCTGGGGAGCAGAGGGGGATTTCTCTGGCCCTTCAGCTCTCTTCCTTCTGGCAATTGTTTCTTCTACCTGAGGCCAGAATGTGAAGGCTTGGATTAGACAATAATCTTCCATCTTCTTCCTTCTGAATTCACCATGGCTTGCAGTTCATTCTGCAGTTTTTGGCTGTGCCCAGATCTTTGCTGCAGTTAGAAAAGCAAATCATACCTAGCTACTGTTGGAAATACATACTCAGGTAGGGTAGTAAAACTCACATAGAAACGGCAGTCCTTCATAAAAGATATTTATTCAATTAAAAGGAATTATATGACAGTGGTTTTTGGCAATTTTAGTCACAATATGTTATATCAAACAATTTGTTCTTAGAAGCTGAATGCACCATCATGGCTGCAAACGCAGCACTGAAAACCTCTGCATTTTTGAAATCATGGATGTATGCTCTAGACAAATCTCAGGTCTGTATTCTGTGGCATTCCTTGGATGATAATACAAAATAATTTCACCAAGTGCAGGAATTGTTTGGACTATGAACATATAACAGTGCTTATAACTAATCTTTATGTCACCCATGACTGCTCACATACCCCTCCACCCCACCCCAGATATAGATATGTCTAGTAAGGTAATATTTACACAGAGAAGCAATGTAGGATTATGCAGAATTTGAGACCTGTTTTTTTATCAGTCTGATTGAAGTCAGCTTTAAAATTGCTTCCATACTGACACTGGCTTTGCAGTCAGTAGTTATTTCATGCATGGCACATGTCAGCAGTGTATGTGGTCTGAGTTCATTTTTCTGTTGCTCATTCAGGAAGAAACATGTAGTTACACTGGATAAATTCTTTTACTGACCAAGCCTACGCAGAAATTAATTTACAATCCTAATCTGTGGAATAAGAAGAAAGGGATCAATTGCTGTCTTTGGTTTGAAATCTTGCTTTCTCTAACTCCAAAATCATCAAAGGCTTGATGTTCACTTCATTCTACTCATGGTTTCAACTTTTTTTAGTTATTTGGTCACTATTATAGCTGTTAATTCTTGTGTTGCCTGGTAGTTACCCAGGAACAGTCCACTTTTAGTTTTAAATGTGAGACTGGACCCTTCCAGTGCTGTACTCTCTAAGAGCACAGTGCATACAGTACTGTACTGCATACCTTAGGTTCTTTTGATAGCTGGATCATTTTCAACCTCAATATTGAAAGCAACAAGACCATTAAATGAAAAGCCTAAATAAAAGGTCACATTTTCATTTCCAGCAGGCACTGATTCATGATGGAGTGGCAAGATACGGAGTTCTTTCACGTGACCTTGTATAAATAAATTTCTGTCCTTGGTCCAGCCAGAAACTCTTTTGAGATTGTCACGAATTTTGGAAATATTCCATACAGTTCCATGCAGCCACTTCATTCTTCTCTCATCTAAGGATCCCACCATCAATTTGTCAATTTTATTTTTGTGTACTATCTTACTTAAGCCATAACCCTTTCCCAGAAAAAAATGGGTGTAGATTCTTTTCTTTCTGGTAGGAACATCTTTCATTTTGATGTCATATAAGTGTTTCAGGGTTTGAAGGGCCAAAGTTAAAATTTCATCTTTGTCAGGATTAGGCTCTTTGTCTAATGCCTCATCTGGCCAGTACAGCAAGGTGAGCAAAAAATAGGCACTTGCTGGAAATTGTCTTTTTCCTTTGAAGAATCGTAGACTGAGCTCACGAAGAGTTGGCAGTGGAAGGAGTTTGGCTGATCCTGGTGCTAAGCAGGCTAATGTGATGTGACACAAAATAAAATTGATCAAATCATTGTCCTCCAACCTGTTCCTTGGTGGGTTTTCTGGATAGAAACTAAGGATCTTTTCTAGCTTTTCAGCTGACCTGTTCTCTTTCTTATCTGTTAAGAATGACAGGATATTGGTGACATTTCCTCCACCACTCCCGTAAATACTCAGGCGTCTCATGAGCTGAGTGTCAGGACCATTGTTGCTGTCATCTATAAGTGATGGTGAGATGAAGAATTTAGCATATACAGCTGACTGCTTTCTCAGCCATTTTCTGGGATTATAAATTTGTTCTTCCTTATCATCATTTTCATCATCCTTCTCTTGGTTTTTATCTGTTTGGAAATAACTTAGTTCCTCTGAAATCCATTCCAGAGCATTGTACAGGTTCTGGCGCAAGCCTTTCAAGTGGGAATGAAGCCTTCCCCATGTTCTTTTTATGTCTTCTGGAATGTAATCTGTGGTGAGATATTTCACAAGCTCAGTATGTTCCCCCTCTGGACTTCTGTGGAATACAGGCAGCGTGGACAAAAATCGAAGAAGGCGACAACCTACTTCTACTTCTCCAAAATAGCCAGCGTTGTTCATACTTTCACGTTCTTCCTTTGCTGCCTGTTGTGCAGCCCTGAAGCATTTCATAGCTTTAAGAGCAAGCAATATCTTCTCGATGATCCTTTCAGGGGTATCCTCCTCTGTCATTTTATCCACAGTGAAACTAAACCATCTCCTGTAGACTTGACCTTCTGTATCCAAAATAAAAGAATCAGTTGGCAAATGTGATTTTGCAACCTTTGCCCAGTATTCAGCATCTTCAAATTTTTCATTGCTGTAATTTAGTCTGGCAAGCTGCTGGGCAAAAAAAGGATCTTTTCCAAGGAGTTCATATGCAGCTTTTAAAACACCAATGGCTTTTTCACAGTCTTCAGCTTCACAGACATGTTCAATGAATGGGGAGAAGAGAGTATCAGTATTGTCACCCCTGCTTCTTTTATCACGTCGAATAAACAGATGTCTGATAAACTTTATGAATTCTTCTCGTCCAAATCTGTTTTCAAAGAGCATCTTTTCCTGAAGAAGAGTTGTTGCAAGTTGACTTAGTGATTGATTCCCTGAAAGTTGATGCAGAATTTCTTTTGCAACCAGGCAGTGTATTATCCGAATAGATGAAATATAAGTGGTGCTTTCCCTTAGCTCAATAAAAATCATTCTTACTTGTTCACTCAAGTGATGTTTGAAATCGTATGCTCTTGCTTTACTCTCTGTATATGCACCCAGCCCCAGAAAAGCCTCACAGTGTGACAGTGAGATGTATGAATTTGGTACATAGCAGTTGAGCAGAGCAATGTAACGCATCAAGCAGGTGTCACGGGAGGAAGGGTCGATGCCTTGCAGTATGTGCTCTACCATGTCTGACACGTATGTTTTATTGAACTCCTCACACATCAGCACAAACGTAAGTATGAATTCTGGCTCAGCATATTTCTGCTGCAGTTTTACAAGTTTGGTGTTAAACAGATTTTTCTCTGAGACTGTCAGTTTGTGAGTGACAGCAACTGTGTCCAGTGGCGAAGCTTTGCAAAGCCTTTCAGGGTCATTGCATCGTCTGCAGCATATGAGGATGAAGTAAGGCCTTTCGGTTTTCATTTTCCTGGTTGCTACAGCCTCCATTAACTCAATCTGTAGTTCTTCAAAGTACTCGTCATCGTAATCTTCGATCAGGAGCAGCACAGGAAAACGGTGAGGGATTTCCTTTTCTTCATAATCTCTGAGGGCGAGCACATGATTACAAACAGTTGAGGGTGAATATGAGGTCTTGATAACAGCACATCTAAAACGCTTTCT